GGGGGGGCGAACACTACATACATACACACAGATGTGTGTGTTATTTGTATGTATACACGTACTACAGGTGTATCTCACTCTCTTTCTATATATATATACACATTTGTAACCATGTTTTTTTATATAATTTAGACATGCGTACCTACATACATGTACACATGTCCAGGTAAGACCCCAGGGGGGGGGGGGGGGGCAACACCTGGCCCCTGGGTCATCCATGGGGGTGCTGGCCCGCCTTTCGCGTCCGAGATGGCCTTCGCGTTCGGCGCGAGAGGGCCCCGCCAGCGCCGAAGCGCCACCCGCCACGGCCCAGAATAAAGGCACCCAAGACGGCCCTGAGATACTTCCAAGACGCGCCAGAGAAGCCCAAGAGGGGCCCGAGAGCGCCCAAGAGGCTCAGAAACTGCCCAATGCGGCCTCAAGACGGCTCACGAGGCTCCCAAGACGCCCCAGAAGACGCCCAAGAGGATCCCCGAGAAGGTTACAAGGTGTCCTGCCTTTTCGGCCCAAGAGCGGCCCAGGACAGCTCTGACGGCCTCCAAGATCGCGCCAAGACAACCCACGAGGCCCCAACAATCGCCCCAAAGACGGCCCAAGAGGCCCGCGCCCCAAGACTGCCCAGGAGCCTGAGGGGGCCCAAGGGGCTCCCAGGAGAGCCACACCAGGGCCTCGAGAGGCCTCCACGAGAGCCCCAAGACGGCCACAGACAACCAAGGCGGGCCAGCAAGGCCCGAGAGCTGCCCCAAACGGTCCCGAGACGACCCCACCAAGGCCTCAAGAGGCCAACCTCGTTCGCTGCAGGACCGCTCACGAGGCACCAGGCACGGCCCGAGGGGGCCCCAAGACGGTCCAAGGCAGCCCCAAGAGAGGGCCTCCAGAGGGTGCCGCAACGGGTCGTGGGGCAGTCTATTGAGGCGTGCGCCTCCCGACATGCCCCCTCGATCGCTTTCTTGGAAGCTCCCAGGACGCTCCCGCGGTGCCCCCAGGAGGCCCCCGAGAGACTCCGGAAACGCTCCCCAGAGCCCCCACGGGATTTCCGAGGGGCCCGCTCCCGAACTGCGTCGAGGAGGCTCCCAAGGAGGCCTCCCAACTTCCCGACCACCCCCCTGGAAGCGTAGGAGAGGTCTCACGTTCACATCCTGCACGGCGTTCCATATAGGCTTTCGCTGGGCTCCAATTCATCATCCACTCCTAGCTCCAAGAGGCCCTTCAAGAACACGCCGCGAGGCCCCGAGAGGCATCCAAGATTCCTCGACCTCACGATCCAGGTCAGGGGTGTGCCGACGCCGGTTGTGCGGCGGGATGCGAACTCTCTGGGGCTGTCGGCGGAGCTCCTTGTGGGGTACGATGCGTGTGAAGAGGCAGTATTCAACCCACACAGGGGAACGTGACGTTATGTGACTCTCGCTCTTCGTTACGGCCCGCGTTGCCAGACACTCGAGGCTGCGGATGTGTCTGAATACGTATATTGCTCACGTGCCTTCGGGACACATGGCGTCTTCTTTTTCTTCTCTCACTGGGGCCGCACGTGAAACTACGTCCCTCTGGGGCACCATCCGTGTGAAGGGGGTGCCGAGATGAGGGGAGGGACGCCATGCAAATTTTGTCCCTGGATCCGAAAGTGGAGCTCACGGGGGGGCACGATCCGTGTAAGGGTCGTGCCGGAATTGGTGGGTTGGGACGCTTTGTGAACTTGGCCTTCCTCTGGGGCAGTAGGTCTAGGCTCAATCCGCGTGATGGGTACCTTTTCATGTCAAGTTCAAGCAATTTGTTGGTCACGACTTCAATGGAGCTGTGACCGAATCGCACTGCCAAGTACATGTTAGCGGTGATGAGGAGGAGGACGCAGGAGGAATGAGGAAAAACATGTTCTCCATCGGCGCCCAACTCGCATCGGAAAGAGTGAAAGGAGAGCACGGGGCAGACAGGGACGCCGGGGCCCAGTGAGGGCCCTCAGACGCCCCGCATATCGCATGTACCTATATATATATAACAGATACACATACGTATTGCTTATCATGTGTACGTTTTCACATGTATATGTAGCGACAGACAGACATATATGAGTACAGTTGTATGTGTATATACATACATCTATTTATTTATAGCAAGGGAAAGAGAGAGAGAGAGAGAGAGAGAGAGAGAAGGAGAGCGAAGGAGAGAGAGAGAGAGAGAGAGAGAGAGAGAGAAAGAGAGAGAGAGAGAGCGAGACAGATTTCTCTGCTGGGGTACCCGGGGGCCGTGGCCCGGGCCAGGACACCCTCCTGGATTTCCCCCCCGCCCCTCCTTCTTGGCCCGCGGCACTGTGGACTCTCCTGGGGCCTCCCGGGCCCCCCCCCCCCGCCGCTCATGACTGGTCGGGAGAGGCCACTGAGAGGCAACCAGGGCGAGGAGGAGGAGGAGGAGGAGGAGGAGGAGGAGGAGGAGGAGGAGGGGGAGGAGGAGGAGGAGGAGGAGGAGGAGGAGGAGGAGGAGGCCCCATAGGCGTCCTGAGAAGGCTCTGAGATGCGCCCCGAGAGGGCCACAGAAAGCCAAACTCGTGTCGTGCCCAAGCGGCAACGCCTATCTGCAGCATGTTCGCACTTCGGGTGTGGACGGTGTCTAGGAAAGCCCGAGGTGCCCCACACATCGCCCCAAGACGTTCCAGGAGGCCCCCAAGGGGGCCCCAGGACGGACCAAGAAAACCCCAGGACGGTCCAAGAGGCGCCCAGCACAGCCCAGGAGGGCCCCAAGAGGAGCCCAGGAGGGGGAACTCCAATGTGCATGTCGAGCTCTCCGCCGCGAGTGGGCCCCGAGACCGCAGCGGCGACCTCGAGGGCCCCCCAAAAAGAGGCTCCGGGAGGCTTCCTCGGGGCCTGCACGAGGCCACAGGAAGTTCCAAGATCTCAGGCACTGTACTCGTAGCGGTAGGGGCCGAAGGCCATACATAAGCAAGCGATGTGCTTGGCGACGGACCCATCCTCATGCAGTCATTTGTAGTGCGGGGCGCGGGTCTCTCTTCCTACACTGCGCGCCGCGGAGCGATGCGGGAAGGTGGTCGCTGCGGGGCACGCGTGCACAGGTGCGCTGAACTCCTCGTGGGGAACGATCCGCGTGAATGGCCGCGCGAACACGCCCACTGAGGCCGCGGGTGGACCTCCGCAAGGCACGACCCCTGCGGGGCATGTTCCGCAATGGGCGGGGGAACGCCATGCGCAGCTGCCCACTGGTGCCATCGGCGGAGCTCCTTTCGGGGCACGATGCGCGTGACGGGTGTGCGGACATGGGCGGGGGGGGGGAGGCGCTGCACAAGCCTTGTCTCTGGGCCGTTGGGTGCTGCTCCTCGTGGGCACGATGCGCGCGAGGGGGCTGCGGCGCGAGGGCCAGGGGGAGGAGCGCAGGGCGGGCCCTGCCCCTGGGGCCGCGGGCGGAGAGATCCCTGCGGGCCACGAGCCGCGAGAGAGGCAGGCCGAGGTGTGCGGGAGGGCGGGAGGCGAGCCTCGTCTCAGGAGCCGTCCGAGGGTGTTCCGTGCGGGCCACGATGCGGGCGAAGAGGCGTGCCGGAGTGGAGCGAGGCAGCATGCTGAAGCTTCCCCTCTGGAGCCGCAGACGCAGCCTGCTTGCGCGCGGCACGATGCGCGTGGGGGGCGTGCCACTGTGAGAACCTTGTCTCTGGGAGCGTATTTGGAGCTCCCTGTGGGGCGCAACCCCTGTGAGGGGTGTGCCAACATGGGCGAGGGGGCGCCAAGCCAGGCCTGTCGCTGGGGCCGCAGGTGGAGCTCCCTGAGAGGCACGACCCGTGTGACAATGTACGTCCTCCGATGCGGAGCGCATTAGACTACAAGTAGAGCTTGCTAGAAGCTAAACTTGCGCGAAGCGCGCGCGTGGTTCTAGTAGATACACACATATATATATATACATACATATATATATGCACATATATTCGAATATGTATATCTATATATATATATATATATGCGTATTCTCTATATAGCTTGCGAGGCCGCGGGGAGCGCGTGCGAGCGTCCTGCTTGGGGGCGCTGGTGGGGGCGCCGTACGACTGCGGCGGCGGCGGCGCTGGCGGCGTCGACGGCGTCGGCGGCGGCGGCGGCGACGAGGAGAAGGAGAACGACGACGAGGACAACGACGAGGATGAGCAGGGAGGACGAGAGTGAGGACGAGGACGACGACAACGACGATGACGACGACGACGACGACGACGACGACGACGAGGACGAGGACGACGAGGACGAGGACGAGGACGAGGACGAGGACGAGGACGACGACGAGGAGGAGGAGGTAGGACGAGGAGGCAGGACGAGCAGGACGAGGACGAGGACGGAGACGACGACGACGACGACGACGACGACGACGACGACGACGACGACGACGACAACGAGCACGACGACGACGACGTGGACAACGACGAGGACAACGACAAGGACGAGGAGGTAGGACGAGGAGGACGAAGATGACGACGACGACGAGGACGAAGACGACGACGACCAGAGATCCCTGGCCCGTGGAGGCTTCGTCTCCGGAGGTCCCCGCCGGAGGTCTCCCCGGGACCCTGCCCCAATCCTCAGGATGCCTCGCCATCGCGCTTCTTCGCGCCGCCCCACGCAGACTCCTCCGCTCCGACAGAAGCCCCCCCCCCACACCTCGCACTCACGAGCCCCCCCATCGCTCCCACAGGAGCTTCCCGAACCCAGTGTGAGCCCGGCAGGAAAACCCAGGGAAGGGAGGAGAGAGGGGGGGGCGGGTCGTCGGCGGCACCTGGCGCGCCTGGTACGAAACCCCCTGTACATAGGTATGTACTTATACATTTATATATATATATATATACACATGTACTTCTCGCGCGCGCACTCTCTCTCTCTCTCTCGCTTTCCCGATTTCCAACTTTTTCTGAATTCTTCTCTCCTTCTCTCCCTCTACATCCCCAGATGGGAACATCGACGTGTCTGCCTCTCGAGACCGATGAGCGCCTCTGTATGTATACCCTTCCTTTGGCCTCCAAGGAGAGCGGCATAGGGGCCCACATTCTTGGGCGACACACGTTCGGGGTGCGGAATGGCTGCTACATGGCGCTGCCCACGACCATGATGATCGCCGCGCTCCTGCACGAGAGAGAAAATGGCCTCTACGACGAACTTACCGGCAAAAGCATGGTGGTCGCTTGCGCGATGGCTTCGGGTGGTGGGCTGTTGATGTCCCTTGCTGTGGATACCAGTCTGGAGGCTTTCCTCTCAGTGCTGCCCATGGGGCTGCTCGGGTGCGCCGTCGGCATGTTCAGGCGAGCGGGGACAAATCGTGAGGACTCGTTTGGTCGCGTCACCCGAGTCTTCGCATCGCGCGGCGGTTGGGCACGCTGCGCCGACGAACCGCAGCCGTTCTCTAATTCCGCTTCGCATGATTGACACTGAGTCGGGCACGTCCCTCTACAGGAGAAGTGGTCAAATATAGCCAAACAATAGCCTGGGGACGACTTTTGGAGTACCTTTGACTGTTTTTGCGTATTGCTTCTGCTGCTTTTGATTTCTCGCCCAAAACCCGCCTGTAGGAGGACATGCCCGACCTACAGTCAACGCGCATAGTAAGGACGCGCGCCTTCATCTAGGGTACCCTTGTGTCCTTGCCTCTGAGGCTCGTCCTTGCCATTATCACTAGTCGCCCGCCGCCCTAAAAAACTCAACTTCGGCCTCCAAGGGTCTTGCGTCCTTACCACCCGTCCTTAATATACGTCTTGACTGTAAGATTGACACTTTCCGTGCCCCCCCGCGCCCCCGCGCAGCCCCGCTTCCCCCGGCTTTCCGCGGCGCCCGGGGGCGCCCCCCTGCGGCGCCCCTCTGCGGCGTCTTGGCGCGGGCCGCCTGTGTCCGCACGTCCGCTGGTTTCTCTGTGTCCGCACCCGCCCCGCTAAAAGCAGAGATTGGGCGAGTTCCCCTACAGGGGAATTTTCGACGAAACATAAAAAATGCCCCAAACATACACCAGAAAGGTCAAACACTATTCCAAAAATAGTCCCCTGACTATTTTTGGACTAGTTGTTTTGACTATTTTTGGGGTATCTTCTATTTTTCGTCGAAGATCCCCCTGTAGGGGGACAGGCCCGACTTAATGCTAAAAGCAGTCATTGGGCGAGTTCCCTGATTAGGGAAGTCTCCGTAGACGCGCCAACGGCGATGTAGGCAACGGCGATGTAGACTTCGGCATTGTAGGCGGGAGTGCCTCGCGGCCGAAGCAACTGTAGGACATCGTGGTTCGTGCTTCCCTGCAGCTCGCTGCGTCGTTTCTTCGCTCGAATACATTCGCACATATGGAGTGCAGGAGACGGTGCTTCGCGCTGTCCTACATGTTGCTCTGCCCGAGCTCGGCGTCGCGAGAGTCGGATTCCGAACGTCGCCATGAACCGACGTCGCCCCGTTGGCGCGGCCCTGGAGCCCAGCAGCATTCAGCAGGAGCGAGAGGGGCGCAGCCGCTACCCGTGGAAAGGGAAGGAGGGATCGGGGGTGGAGAGACCTCCTACCCTGACACGTCGAGTAGTGAATTGTCCGATTTCGGTTCTCCAGAGGGCGCCGCGGCCGTCATTTTCCAGGCTTGCGGCCGCCAGGTTTGGGCCCGAGGTCGTTTTCACTAAACCACGTTGTGCTAAAGGGGGGTCTGTCCATCCCCGAAGGGAACGGAGGGGAACGGAGGAGGCGGCGGCGGCGGGCACACGGGCGTGCGGCGGCGGACGGCCTCGGCACCGGCCAGCGTGCGCCGCACCTTCGCGCAGGGCACGGCCCCTCACCCCCTATGGTAGGGCCGCACCTTCGCCTCCTCCTCCTCCTTCTCCTCCTCCTCCTCCTCCTCCTCCTCCTCCCAACTCCGCGTCCTCCTCCTCCTCACGGCGCCTCACCCATTAGGGAGGGGGGCGCATAAGGAGAGGAGCCCGAAGCCACGCCCCGGGCCACCCGCGGGGCCCTCTGCTGAAGGTGCCTCCTCCCGAGCGCCTCGGCTCGGTGAGCTCGTATACGCTCGGCTGGGATCCGGCAAGAGGAGGGCGAGGGGGAGGAGGAAGGGGAGGAGGCGGAGCAAGGACGGGGACGAAACGAGGCCTGCGAGGGGAGGAAGAGGAGGAGGAGGAGGAGGAGGTGGAGGAGGAGGAGGAAGAGGAGGAGGAGGAGGAGCAGGAGGAGGAGGAGGAGGAGGAGGAAGGGAGGAGGGGAGGAGAGGTTGAGGAGGACGCGGAGTTGGGAGGAGGAGGAGGAGGAGGAGGAGGAGGAAGAAGAAGAAGAAGACTGATGAGGGAGACGACGCCAGCCTGCGCGATCTTGTATCCAATTGGCAGCCATCTTGGGTTCTCTGAGGCCGTATTGGAGGCATCCTCCGCCAGCTCGGGCCCTCCAGCGGCCCGCGGCCGGGCCCGCCCAGGCCCAGGGAGAGAGGGGTGATGGGGTCAGGGAGAGAGGCAAGTCTCTCCCTGCATCGGGGGTGGGCAGACCTCCTGCCCTGACACGTCGAAGAAGGAATTGGCCGTTTTCGGTTCGCGAGAGGGGGTCGCGGCCGTCAGTTTTGCGGGTCCAGGTCCGTCGGTTTCGGCTTCAGGCCGTTGTCACTAAGGGGAGGTCTGCTAAAAGGAGGTTTGTCCACCGCCTCCCCGAAGAGGAAGACGGAGGTTGGAACAATTAACTCGCCGAACAACCTACGCCTAGAAGGCTGGTGCGATGCATACGTGCGCTGCTCGACGCGAGTGTTCTGGCCGCGCGATGACTGCAGGGGGCCCTCCTGCCGAGGGGGATCGTCTCACCCGAGGCCCGACTGGCGAGTCGAGTGGTTTGTTTGGCTGCGCGGTTGAGGGTATTCGAGCTGCGGCCCGCTGACGCGGCAACGAGGCGCGCGCCGTGGTCTGACCAGATATGGCGATGGCGGCCCAGACTGCCGCACACGCATAAAAAACAAGGCGTGCATGGGCCGTCCGTAAGGTTGTTCCGTGCTGTGTTGTTAGGGGCAGCGTTGCGCGGATGTAGTGCAGCTGCAAGATGGTAAGCGCATTGCAATAAGGGAGTCATGCGCGTGCCTCGCGGAGCTGGCCCGAAAGCGCATTTGGCCGCGAACGCTGACAGATCTAACAAACGGGGGGAGAAAGTATACTGACCCAACAACGTGTGTTTGCAGGTCTTCCCGAGCGGTTTGTAAATTCTCGGGTCCGTTGGACCGGGCCCGAACACATCTTGTTTGCACAGGTCCCACGCACTGCGCTCACTTCCAGGTCGGCCGGTGGACCTTCCGGGTGTTCTGGGGGAGAAGCCCGGCAGGTTCTCTCGGAGGAAATAAAGCGCGGTGTGCTCATTTTCGGATCCGTGCACCGTTTGGGCTTCAAAATTGGGAGCCGAAGCCCGATTCCGACCCTTTGGGGGGAGGGGGAGCACTGGGCGCGAATGAATGGGGGGCGATGAGTGGGGGGGGGGGGAAAGGTTCCTGTAGGGTTCCGTCCTTCTGGGTCCTGGAGGGCCCCGTTTCTGCAGCCATCGCTGCCCCCCGATGTATCGCCTAGAGGACTGCTTCTTACGTTAACAAGCGTGCATCGCCCTGAGCTTAGCGAGGGCATCCCTGAAGTCTTGACTCAAGCAGTGGCGAAGCGTCCTGGCTTGCCGATAGCCCTACCAAACAATGTTCTAAGAACTTGTTGTGGTTCCCACGAAATGTTCTTAGAACATGTTTGGCTGGGACAGTCTTGCTTTAACGCATCGGGTTTATGTTCTAAGAACATTGTCTTTGTTCTTAGAACACTTTTGGGTTCTAAGAACATTTCGTGGTATGATTATAGGACCGCCGGGACGGTCGGTCCCTGCTCAATTTACGCGACCAGGCGGACGCCGCCTGAGCAGCTACTCCTCTAGCATGGGCCGAGCATCCTCAGCAGCACTCCTATGGACAACAGCCGTGTGAGCCTCCAGGGCCACGTCCCACGCAGGCCCGCATAGGCCGAAGATGCGCTGCCCAAGGTCCCAACCATGCGGGCCCCCGTCGGCAACACCCCAACATACTTATACTATATGTGCGTCGCCCCCCCAGGGGCGACGCGCGCACCGAGAAATCTTATAGTTTATGCGTCGTGGCGCGCGCTTTCTGGCCACACCGCTCGGGAAACGATATACTACAAGATGGGTATACTACATAGTCGGGTCGGACGCGCGCCTCCAAGGAGGACATATAGTACTAGTATGTCCATGTGCGTCCCCTTCATCGCCGCCGAAAAATGCATCTGACCAGGCCCCTGCGGCCCAACGGGCGGGGGCGCCGACCCTGCCCCCCCCCCCCCCTCCCCCTCCCGCCCTCCGCCCTCCGCCCCCCCAGGGCCGCCCCCGTCGGCCGCTTCGGAGGTCGCGCCCCGGGCCCGCCCCCGTCGGCCGACCCCGCCCCCCCCCCCTTTTTCCCCCTCCGCCCTCCCGCCCTCCGCCCCCCGGGGCCGCCCCCGCCGGCCGCTTCGGAGGTCGCGCCCCGGGCCGCCTCCGTCGGCCGACCCTGCCCCCCCCCCCCCCCCTTCTGCCCCCTCCGCCCTCCCGCCCTCGCCCCCCGGGGGCCGCCCCCGTCGGCCGCTTCCGAGGTCGCGCCCCGGCCCCAGGCGGCCGCGAGGGGCACCGTGGCAGAGGTTTGACGAACTGTCGGCTCGGGAAGAATCGGGGGAGCGTAAGACCCGGGTTTGCCAGGACTCGGGTTCGCCATCGTTTTTTGACGACCGCGCCTCGGATTTTGACGAGGAGGAGTTTCGTGGGATGTCTGCAGCGGGAGGCCTCGTCAAAATGTAGGCTCGGCCTAGTCATTTTTTTGACGACCTCGTCGGGGATTTCCCAGTCCCCTGTACCCAGGTCTCACGTCCCCCTGAAAGAAGAAAGAAACGGCATAAACAAAAGTTTCGACGGTCCGCGCGTCTGTCTTGGATCCGTGTTGGGCCCCCCGTGGCGGCGCCTCCAGCGCCGCCCCTGGCGCGCTCCGCGCGCCAGCGAGGGGGGGCCAGAGCGGATTCAAGAGATCCGCGCGGACCGTCAAAAGTTTACGTTTTGCCGTTTTTGCTCCTCTAGGATCGGCGCAGTGGCGTCTTCGACGCCCTCGCTCCCCTCCCCCTTCTGGAGAACACAGAGGCGGCCCGCTCCAGCCTCGCGTGGCGTCGCCCTTCTTGCGGCGCGCCGCCTCGCAGAGTCTGTGCGCGAGCCGACGGCGCGGGCTTCGCCGTGCGCTCCGTGCGTGCGGATGTCGTTGGACGGCGAGCGCGCAGGGCGGTAGACACGCGATGATGACCGCGCGCGCGGCGGCGCCCCGCAGTCAAGCTGTCCCTTGCCAGCGGCAGCATGGGCGTGAGAGCTTCAGTGTGGAATGAGACAACGGCTGCAGGGGCGTCGCGGCGCGGTGGACTAGTCACTAGTGCGCACGCCATGGGGTCAGACGAGTGAGCAACCGCCGCAGCGTGTGCGCCCCTCCGGTTGGTGGCAAGCCTGGCGACCGATGGCGGAGAGGACGGATCCGACACTTCGCTGAATTCGATTGTCGATTCCCATCTTGCTCATGAGTTGGCAGCGTTGAACCTAGGTTTTGGCTGTTCTTTGCTCGCAGCCAGCCTCTTCGGGCTGCACGCAAACAGCCCCACCAGGTGGTCCTAGCTGGCCTAAAGAGGCCCCCCTGAAATGTCCGGGCCGGTCTCAACGCCTCATCTCAACCCTGAGGGGGCCAGCCAGGATTACCTGGGGGCTCTCTGCGTGCAGCCCGAGGCATTGCCAGACCAGTCCTATGACCCTAATGTTTTTCTGAGCAGGTGGATTTATTTGCAGAACTTGTTCCCGCATGGGGAGGCGACCACGTGCGATTATACCTTTAAAGTGGCGGTGATCATGCTGTCCGCGACCGCGGCCTGCAGCGCTGAGATATCCGCCTTCTTCGACTGGCCCAGCTACATTGACTTCGTGCACACTGGGATCCCTCACAAGAGGTCCAGCGTGAAAACCATGGGTCACATGAGAAAGCCATGTCATAAACATGCTTGGATCGGCGTTGGGCCTCTTTGGCGGAGCCTCTGGCGCCGCGGAGTGCGCCAGGGAGGGGGGGTCAGGGCAGATCCAAGAAATCCGCGCGGACCTCCGAACACTGCTGTATTTGATCCTTTGTTCTTCTTTAAATTCAGTGAGGTCGTCGGATTATGAGTGATTTCGAGAGCACTCTGGTCCTGGAATGTTCCCCATCTGATTATAGCTGCAGGCGTGATCCTAGATTGGCTTGCGACTTGCTGTCGACACTTTGGGCTGCTAGCCTGTCTTGGTCAGTTGCATCAGGCGACCTATTGGACATGATCCGGTGAACCTGATTCGGAGGTGTTTCTGGAACGTGTTTCAATGTAGTTGGCGAACTTGGGGATAATCACAGAGGGGCGCTCCCTCCCCTTACCTCCGTTTTCGGTTGTAGTTATTTCATGCTCCGACGGCTTACACTTGATCTCGTTTAAACCGTCCGCAGGAACTTCTGGGGGCCGTGAAGAATGTGCCCATTTCCTCGAGGGTTTGCCTTTTTGCATGGGTTCCGTCGTGACAAGCGCAGACGCAAGAATGTTTCCAGGTCGCCCGGGGACGCACGTGCCTTTGTTGTCGCATCCCAAGGTGGTATTATCGAGTTGCCTCCGTCAATTCCTCCACCGTGCCAGCGCAGCAATCCTGGGTGGCAGCTCCTCGCGAAGACCATGAGGGCCTGCCGGGGGGCCTCTTGGGGCAGAAGGCTCGGATGCTGGGTGCGTGCTCCCACTCTTGGGCCCCTCTTGGGGCCATCTTGGGCCCTCTTGGGCAGTCGTGGGCGCCTGGTGTGCCGTCGTGGCGCCCTCTTGGGACGTCTTGGAGCGACCTCGCGGGCCTCCTCTGGCCGTCTCGGGGGAGTTCGTGGGACATCCTGGGTCGTCTTGGAGTGTCGGAAGCTCGGAAAGGCGAGGGCCTAAAGACATTGAATATGCGAAGGGGGATCCACATTTGTGGTTCCTCCTGGGGCCTTCTAGGAGGCCTTTGGTGGGCCTCTTTTGGACGTCTTGGAGCTTCCTGAACCCTCGAGGGCACTTCTTGGGGCGCGTCTTCGGGCCCTCGTCGGCATTCTCGGCGCTTCTCGGGCCCTCTTGGGGCCCTCTTGAAGGGATGTTCTCGGACCCTCTTGGGACCCTCGGCTCTCAGGTTCGTGGGGGATGTTCTTCTGGATTAGGTCTGACTGTACAGCGAGACGACGATCTCGAGCGAAACGCCGCGCTTGCCTCAGCGTTGCGCAGACTTCGCCTGAGAATGTCGAGTTCACGCGCGATGTCGGCGCGTTTTTTGCCCTCGCCGCTCCAATCGGACATGCGGAGGCACCCGAAGATGCCGAATGGCGCGTCTTCGGGCCCTCTTGGGCATTCTCGGCGCTCCTCGGGCCGTCTTGAGGGCCTCTTGGGCAATCTTGGGGCCCTCTTGGGCCGTCTTGGGGCCTCTTGGGGCCGTCTTGGGGCCCTCTTGGGCCCTCTTGGGGCCCTCTTGGGGCCCTCTTGGGGCCCTCTTGGGCCGTCTTGGGGCCTCTTGGGGCCCTCTTGGGGCCCTCTTGGGGCCTCTTGGGGCCCTCTTGGGGCCTCCTGGAGCCTCTTGGGGCCCTCTTGGGGCCCCTCTCGGGGCCGTCTTGGGGCTCTCTCGGAGTCCTCTTTTGGGCCCCCTCGAGGTAGCCGCGGGCGCCTCGGCGCCGCGACGGCCTCGTGGGCCGCCTCGGCGGGCGGACCTCGCGGGCCGGTCTTGGGGCCCTCGTGGGGCTGTCGGGAGGCCAGCGGGGCCCGTCTCGGAGCGAGACCTGGGCCGCCTGGGAGGCATCTCGGCTGCTGCAAAACTGTCGGAAGTGCTCGGTTAAATCTCCTGCTGGGTATCAGATTTCGGCTTCTGCAAGAAGTCGCCTTCCTCTTCTGAACGGATACAAATCCTAATGATGAGATTGCCTTGTGAACTTCTGACTTGTCCGACCCTCTGTCTTCCCACCCTCCCGGCCCCCTCCCCTCCCCCTCCCAGCGACGAAGAACCCCTTGGAGACTCCCTGAGCCGGTTCTGATATCCAGCAGAAGTTGCCGTAATTTGCCGAGTGTTGTGGCCTCGGGAGGAGGGGGCCGTGCGCGCAGCGAGGTGCGACTGGGAGGGCATTTCGGCTTCGGGAGCGCGAAGCTGCCGTAATTTGCCGAGTGTTGTGGCCTCGGGGGGAGGGGGCCGTGCGCGCAGCGAAGTGCGACTGGGATGGCATCTCGGTTTCGGGAGCGCGGAGCTGTCGTATGTTGCAGAGGGCTATGGCCTCGGCGAGGTGCGACCAGGAGTGAGGGGGCCCTCAGAAAATTAATAAATCCTCACCAGACAGGCCCGAGCATTCTTCCACGCCTCAACGTGCACAAGGCACGGTGGCGGATGACGGGAAGCGCCTCCGGCGTGCACCGTTGGCTCTGGGACATAATTTATTTTCCTAATTGAAGGGTGCGGGTCGCACCGGGGACCTCGCTGTCGGATGACGGAAAGCGCGTCTAGACTCGATGAGTCGCGCGATGCACGTTGCAAACTGACTCGGAAGGGAAATATTATCAAGTGGGGGGGGGGTCCAGGGGGGGAGTGGTGGCAGGATCGCTCCGTTGCAGGAGACGTGGCGGATGACGGGGAGCGCGCTTGGACTCGAAGAGTCGCGCGATAGACACATGTCGCCCAGTGGGATGTATTTATCAACTGGTGGGTCCAGGGGGGAATGGTTCGTTATCGTTAATTTTTCCCCACATCCTAAGTGGGATTCGAGTTTTCTCTGGACACCCCACGCAGGAACAGGAACAGGAGCCCGCCCACATTCTCATCATCGTCATCATCATCAGCATCATGAGCATGATCATCACCCCATCTTTTCGCCACGCACACACTAGCACACTCACGCACTCAACTTCATCATCATCATTATCATCATCATCATCCTCCTCCTCATCATCATCATCAGCAGCAGCACATTCATCGTCACTCAGCCACTCACTGCGAGGAAGTCTTGGGCGGGAGCCCCCCCTTTTGGGTCCCGCAGATCATGTTATTTCATCCGAGCGGGTCATCGGAAACCTATCATTGTGGTCACTTTTGGGCTCCTGGGGCCTGAATATGGGGTAGGTATCAGGCGGGGCCTTCGTGACTGAATTATGAGAAAGTCTCAGGCGGGGGCCCCCCTTGCTATTGATCCGAGCGGGCCATCGGAAACTTTGGCTGTCGTCACTTTTAGGTTCCTCGGGCCTGGATGCGGGGGCAGTATGAGGCGGGAGCCTCGCTTGCGAGTGGCTTGCGAGGACGTCCGAGGCGGGAGGCCCTCTGTCGGGGGGCCGCAGGTCGTATCATTGATCCGAGCGGGTCCTCGGAAACTTGTAACCGTAGTCATCGTTGGGCTTTTGCGGCTTGAGTATGGGGAGAGTATGACTCCATAGGGACAAGGAGGCTCCATAGGGAGGTGTGAATAACTTCCATGGCTTGAATATGGGGAGAGTATGAAGGCTTTAACGGTTTTTTGGCTCCATATGGAGCCATACTCCCGTGCCACACTCTCCCAATGGAGCTCCATGGGACAACGAGCCTCCCGGCTCCGCGGGAGCCCCGTGTGTGAATAAATGACAAGGAAGTCTCAGGCGGGAGCCACCTCCGTATGGAGCCCGCAGATCACGTCCTTAGTCCAAGCGGGTCATCGGAAAATGTGTAACTGTAGTTTTTGTTGGGGCACTTGAGGCCTGAACCAGGGGGAGTTCTTAGACGGGAGCTTCGTCTGTGAGCGAATTGCAAGGAAGTCTCAGGCGGGAGCTCTCTCACTATGGAGCCCCCGGGTCAATTAGTTATCCGAACGGGTCATCGGAAACATGTAAGTTTCGTCACTTGTGGGTCTCCCAGGCCTTGACATGGGGGGGCGTCAGGCGGGAGCTTCGTTTGTCATTGAATTGCGAGGAAGTCCCAGGCGGGAGCCCACTCCCTATGGGGCCCGCATCTCATGTTAGCAATCGCCGCGGGCCATCGGAAACCTGTAATTGTCGTCGCTTCTGGGCTCCTGAGGCCTGAATATGGCAGGAGTCTCAGGCGGGCGTTGGTGATCCGAGCGTTGTATGTCGAGCTGGTCGTCGGCAAACTTGTTACTGTCATGGGCCCGCGTGCCCGAAATTGGAACTTCCCGCGGTTCCGCAGTAGCGTAGGATCATATGGGCGAATGAGCAGCTGACAACGACGACGACGACGACGACGACGAAACGGCCCTTCCCACCAGAGGTCTGGTCCGCCTGGGAATAGACGTTGGCCTCGGACAGCCACGGCGTCCTGGACCCTCGGCGCCAACACGATAACTTTCGCCGTGTCTACGGCATGGGCAGACATTGGGAGACGTTGGCGAGGTGGATCAACACGCGCGCCCGTCGCGACTTACGGCGTCTGGGCGTGCCCTTCGTTTTCCAGCAGGTCGTGGACGAGTGCAACACACTGCAGGGCGATCCCGACGCGGGTCGGCGCCTCTTCAAAGTCCCGAACACGCACAAGACGGGGGACACCCACAGCGTCTTACAGGCCCGCGTCGGCATGGAGGTGCGATTCACGGCAGCACAGGAAGAATTGGGACTCGTGCAGGAGCAACGGGCCACCATCGTGTCCTTCGAGATTCACCCCGAGGACGAGCAGCGGCACGAAGAGTGCTCGACAGGCCAGCTGTTTCGCCCCCGCTTCCTACTGCAGGGGATATAGCTGCAGGTGCACGACGCCAAGGAGTCTAAGATTCACCAGGAGGTCGTTGAGCTGCTGCGACAGGAAACCGAAGGCGCCGACGACGACGGCCGGGCCGAGGCGCTGGCGCGGAGCTTATTGATGTTCAGGCCCAGCGAGCAGGAGATCACGCGGCAGAGCTCGGGGCCACACGTCGCGCGCCGTTCGGGGTTCGCCCTGGCGCGCGCGCCCCGCCTCACCACCACGTCGTCGCAGGGCGAGGCGCAGCGCAAGTGCGTCGCCATCGACTCCGCCAGGGACGCGGACGCTGGCCGCACGGGTGCGTCGGACGACCGGCCTTGGCTGCATCTCTACGTCATGATTCCCCGCGCCACGCGCGTGCGAAACGCGCTGATCCTGCAGCCGCCCGTGCGGAAGGGGCTCAGGGAGTTCGACGAGGGAGCGGAGAGCTCCAGGGCAGCATCGGGGCAGCTCGCGGCGAGCGCGGCCGCGAGTGGCCCGGCTCGTGCGGGTTTGGCCCAACGGCTTGTTTTTCCCGCGCCCCAGCGGCTCGCGGGATTGCCCCGACGGCCTTGCCAGTGGAGTGGCCCCAACGGCTGCGCGATGTGGCCATTCGAGAATGCGCCCGCGTTCGCCGAGGCGGCGACGGCGCCGAGGAAAATCGGCACGCGCGCTTCTGCAATACAAAGAGGAGGAGATGGTGTGGTGGGAGGGGGGAACAGGTGGGCGAGGAGAGGGCAACGTAGGGGGCGGGAGGAGGGGCTGCGCCACAGCGAAAAGGAGAATGACGCAGGGGAGACAGTAAGGACGCCTCACCAGTCGCGATGACGACGATGAGGGGTATTTCCAGATTGGCCGAAAGGATTTTCATGCGTGGTCCAGCCGTCGGGGCCACGGGCGCGTCGGATGACGGAAAACAGGAACCTTTCGTTTGAGACATGTTCGCCAACACGCGATATTGGAGGCTCTATTTGAAGACGTACTAGGCTAGACATGAGCGTTTCGTTTGAGGCATCCTCGCGGAATGGGGATGTTGAAATCGTTGTCTAAATATTCGGGACTTCAAATTTGCTTGGATCACTGAAGGCATCCTCGCCGAACTGGGATTTTGGAGGCTATCGTCTCAAACGTGTTCTGCGCAAAATGAGCGTTTCGCTTGAGACATCTTCGGACAATGAGGATGTTGAGATCGCTGGCCGAATCCGTGGGAATTGAACATGGCATTCTGCTTGAGGCATCTTCGAAACATGCGATGCGCATGGAACAGTTTTGAAATTGACATATCTTTAGGGGGCGCATTTGGATGGCATCCACGATGGCCCAATATCCACAACGATTGAAACACACATGGTTTTTGAACGCTTCCATTCAAATATATGCGTTCCGCTCGAGACAACCTCCTTACACATGCATTCGGACGGGTACTCGAAACATCCAATCTTGATGGGAATGCCGGTGATGACGAGGATGGTGATGGTTATGGCGATCATGGTATTGATGACGTTGATCATGATGATCATGGCGACGATGAGATTGCTTGTGATGCTGGTGCTGCCACTGATGATGGCGACGATGATGTGATGGGGTGCTGGTGATGGTGACGATACTTATTGTAAAGCTGATGGGAATGAGGGGGAGATGGGGGAAATTGGAGGTGCACAGAGGAGTGGGAGGATATTGAGAAACATGCTTGTGAACGGTCGGGGGGCGCGTGTCCATAGGTATCCGTTGTGAACGTTCGGGTAGCTCGCGTACATACAGTACATTTGACCCTGATGATGCTGTACGTTCTTGCACAATTCAGGCCTTTACAGGCTTCCCGTTCATTTCAGGATAGGTGTGGAAAATGCACGTTTCGCATGCGACATCCTCGCGAACTCGCGATCGTGGAGGCTCTATCATAAGACATAATTTGCTAAATATGCGCGTATCGCCTGAGACATCCTCACAAACTGGGGATATTGAAATCGCTGGCCAAATCAGAGGAACTTCAAAAAATGCGGTTTGGCCCGAGACATCTTGTAACGCATGGGATGCGCCAGCTGCTGTTTTGAGACATATGTTCGGAGCGTTTTTGGATGACCTCCAAGATTACCCAAGAAGCGAACGTATTGAAACACACATGTGCTTTTCAATACTTGTGATTAAGAGTAAGCGCTTCGATCGAGGCATCCTCGAAACATTGCTGTCGGACTAATCTTCGAAACCATCAGATCATGATGACGATGATGGTGACGATGGTGATGGTAATGTTGATGATGATCATGACGATGATAACGATGATGCTGTTCTTGATGCTGCTGATGATGATGATGATGATGCTGATGATGTTGATGTTGATGCTGATGATGCTGATGATGATGATGGTGTTTGTCGATGCCGCTCATGTTGCGAAGCCGATGCTTATGACGATGCTTATTATGACGATGGTGCTGATCATGATGACGGTGATCATGATTGTGATGGTGATGACGATGATATTGCTTGTGGTGTTGCTGTTGCTGCTGATGATGGGGATGATGTGATGGGGTGCTGGTGATCGTGACAGTGTTGATGAAGATGATGATGAAAGCGAGGGGGGGACGGAGGAGCACAAAGGAGTAAGAATACACTCAGAAACATGCTTGTGAACTTTCGGGGAGCGCGTGTCCATAGGTAGCCGTTGTGAACGTTCGGGGAGCTCGCGTACATGACATTTGACTTCGATAATGCTGTACATTTTTGCGCAGCTGGTCGCTTTTACGCGCTTCCCGTTCATGTCAGGAAAGGTTCTGGGAAAATGGCCGTTTCGCTCGAGACATCCTCGAAACATCGGCTCCGGAGAGGACTCCGAACCAGCATTGTCTTGCAATTGTTCCCGGAGGGATTCATTCAAAAAGACCCTGGAGGTCTCCCAAAGGTCCCCCAGGGGTTCCCAAAGCGCCCCGAGGGACCCCGAAGCGGCACCCAGAGGCCTCCAAGAGCGCTCGAAGAAGTCCTGGGACTGCCCAAGAGGTTCCCAACATGGCCCGAGACAACCCCAAGGCAGCCCAAGAAAATCCCGACGGACAATCCGGGCCCGCCAAGACCCTTCAGAACGATTCAAAACAGCCCCCGAAAGGATCCGCAGATTACCTCTCCGAGGGAGCCCCAAGAGGCCCCCAAGAAGCGCGCGGAAAGCCCCCAAGAGCCCCTGCGAGAAGCTCCCAAAGGGCTGTCAGAAAAACCCTCCGAAATCTTGAAGGACCCTACACGGCCCATTCAGTCCGTGCGCTTCAGGACACGTGTCCAAAGCCCCAAGAAGCCTACACGGCCAATGGTGTGCGCCATGCGCTTCAGGACCCCTCATGGTCCTTTTGCTTTCCCTCGCTGTGCTCCACGTCCTGCACACTGTCCTCACCAAAAAGCTGCGCTTCCCGTTCTTGTCCGGAAAGAGTCCTATTTCTTCGCGTGGCTATAGTGCATCTACTTGCCCTATAACGTGCGCCGTAGACGTTGCATTGACGGTCGCATGTGTAATTGTTTTCGGCATCGCTTGTGCGGCTCATGAGGTTTGTGGGCTTGAATGGCAGGAAGTCTGGCGTCACGAACAAATTCAACATCGCAGAACATCAAAATCGGAGCCCGAGATCTCATCTTCATACGTCGCATTTCGGGCCGATTCAACCCGTCCGGGCCTCGAGGCCCGAAGCCAAGACAAAACGCCCCGGGTTGAAAAAAGGTGGGCCTCCTCTTTCGCCTCGCACCCCGGTTCCCGACAGAGCGCTCGGGATGGCCGTTTGCCGAGAGCGGCAGACCTCACCTGCCCGCAGAGGTGGTTGGCGACCTGGACGTTGATCGGATCGTCCTCGGCCGCCCTGGTGCTGCTCGCGGAGCTGAGGTGCGGGAAGGGCAAAAACCAGCGCGAACGTAAAAGTACGCACTGAACAACACACATCTACATAATTCCAAATTCGGGGACAGAAACACGACAGGTCAGCTCCCAACCGTCACCGCGCAGAGTGTAATGGACACTCCTCAGGGTAAGTTCGCGAGCGTGAGACGTTCAACCTAATATGCACTTTATGTTTCGGGCTCAGTCTGCATTGTCAGGGTATATACGTGCGGCTCCCATCACATGTTCGGCGGTCCGCGCGGATTCCGTGGCCCGGGAGGGAGATCCAGCGCCGATCTAAGAAGTCCGCGCGGACATCCGACAGTTATGATATTTACGCCGAGCTCATTCCTCAGCCAAAAAGCGCTTCCGCGCCTCGGAGAGGCCTGGCCCGGAAGCGTTTGCCTCAGCCCCACGCCCGTTCAGCCCTTGCGACAGCCCCACGCCCTCTCCGGCTGCCTCCGCCAAGCCCCAGCTGCCAAGGCTGTTGCCGCACATCTCGGTCTCGGTCATCGGCCTCCCGCTGCCCGCCTGCAGCACCGCCGCCGCCGCGCTCTACAACGCCTGGCTGGGCAACTGGCTCGAGATCCTCGGTGGGGACTTCCGCCTGCCCGCCCTGTGGTACGTGGGCCTCGCAGTGTGCCCGCCGCCCCCCCCCCCCCCGTGCCTTGGGTCCTCGAGCAGAAAAGAGCCCCCAAACCCTACGAGCACAGTGAAGACGTGGCCGCACTTAGGTCCCCGTCCTCGCGCTGGGGATAATCACCTGGGCGGTTCGGTCTGATACATCTGCAGAGCAGACCCCTTATCCCTGATGTGTTGGCCCTCCTAACTTAGGTCCCCTCCCAAAGGGTTAGAGGTACGTTTGTTGCTTATCATTGGGCGTTCGACGGTGGGCCTCTTGTTGAACACAGCCGTTAAGTCTTCGCGGCGGAGGCCGCCGAAGACCGCCCGAGGCCCATGGGCAGCAAGGGGCCCATGGTGGGACAGAAGGCAGCATGCCACCACGCTGGCATGCGAGTGAGACCGACAACGACGTCGACGACGACGACGACGCCGACGCCGACGCCGACGACGACGACGTCACTCGGCTGGGCTCCGTAATGGGCGGCCTGCATCGCTGGCCCGGCGCCGAGGTACGTGCTCTCGCTGTGGCGTTTCGCGCGCGTGCGCTGGGCGGAGGCGGTCTTCGGCGCGGGCGCCGCTGAGCGAGAGGCGCCCCCGCGATGCCGAGCCCGGGATTCCGCTGTGCATGGCCACCGCCTGGATGGTCGATCTTCGGGGGCCTCGGGAGGCGGCGGATATGGACCAATCTTAGGCATCGGCCATGCGGCACGATCCTCGGACCCCATCTGCTCCGGCCCTATCCAGGAGGCCCCTATACACTCGGACCCCCCAGGGGCCAAATCTGACATTTGTGTCCATATCCGCCGCCACCCAGCGTCCCAGGCCATCGGCTCCCCAGGTGGCGGACATGGACGAATCCCCGCCTCGCAGCCATGCCGACTGCAACGATCCCGCCGTTCCCCCCCCCCATTCCCGTGCCGTGACGGTGGGGGCGGCGCCGGAGGCGACGGCGACGGCCACGAGCGGCAGCGGCGGCGACGGAGACGGCGACGGCGACCACCTCCGTCTCTGGACCGCGGGACGCTGCGGACCAAAGTTCTGACGGCATGGGCGCGTGTTCTGTCTTCCCCCTCCCCCTGGCTTGCCCGAGCGCGCGCGCGGACCGCCCCTGCCGCTGCAAGGTTTCAGGGAGGAGCCCGCCCGCCCGCCCTGCACACCCTGACCGCCAGGCCGGGCCCCGGCAGCCCCGAGGGTCCTCGAGGGTCTCCCGCCCAGCCCGCCGGCCCAGCCTGGCCACGCGCAGAAGGGGGTAGGGGGAGGGGGGAAGGCTTCTTAGAAGCACCCCTGCTCCTCAGAAGGCGCGGGCCTTCCCTGCAGATGCAAGGCCGGCGCCTTCCAAGAAGCAGCCTCCTTCTAACAAGCCCCCCCCCCCGCCCCCTACCCCCCTGCGCGCGCCGCCAACCCGCGGCCGCCGGGCCCTCTGAGCAGGCCCCGGCAGCCCCCGAGGGTCCTTTGTGTCCCCCCCGCCTCGCGCGCCGGCCCTGCATGGCGCGACCGCGCGGCCCCCGCCAGCCCCGATGGAATCCGGGGCTCCCGCCTGGCCGTGCCCCCCCGCACACAGAAGCACAATAGGAGCCTTCCACGACAGATCAGGCACAGCCGTCCACGGGCATCCGGAGCAGAGCATGCCGCCGCGTGGTTCGTTCCGGCGCGCAGCCTTGGCCATATTTGGAGAGGGCGCGGGCTGTTCCGACGCGGGGGTTGTTCGTTTTGGAGAGGGCGCCTCGGCCACCAGGGCAAGCGTCGCCTCGGGCGCAGGGTTTGTCGTTGGGTTGCCGCGGTGCCGGCTTCGTCTACCGGGGCAGGTTCAAAACAATCGACGAGGCGACAGATCAATAACGCACATCAGTCACGTACGTCAAGGGCATGGCATCAACATGGCACATCAGTACCATGCACGACCACTCGACACCCATCAAGCAGCAAATCATTCACATGCATACATTCACTGCACCACTTACATTGACCAGCCGTGCACACATACTGTGCACATTCTAGTAACACGTATCGCCAACAGATCCCCATGATGTATGTCCATAACGTAACATCTCGCAGTAATACACACCATTGACATGCAGTAACAGCATACATATGCAGTTGCATGCGGCAGCTCTCGCCACCGTGCCTGTGCAACAACGTCGAGCTTAACGCCCCGCCAGGCGGGTCGTGGACTCGTCATCATTTTTGTCCGCGCGGTAGGGAGGAGGCTAAGGAGGCGGAGGAGGAGGAGGTCACGGGGGCCATTTGGGTATAACTTTTGGGGCCTCTCGGCCTCTTGGGCTATCTTAGGGAGCCCGGCTGACGCCTTGGAGGCCTGTTGGGCCGTCTTGGGCGGTCGGAGGCCCAAACAGGTAAGAACGCCAAAACCCTTCGCAAACCACAGAACGTAAATGGTCTTCGCGTGAGTTGCCGACGTTCACCTGCGCGCTGGCCTCGGAAAGTTCACGTTACGTGGCGCGGGCTCCTGGACGTGACGTGGGCTCCCTGGGCAGGCACCTCACCGGGGACGCTTCTCATCCTGAGTTGTTGTTCGGGCGTGGCCCGAATGTGTGCTCTGCGAGGTGCACTGAACTGATTGATGGACTGTCTGATTGGTCGCGCCCGTCAGAAGGGAGTTTGACTTTCGGCCTCCGAGTGCGCAACTTGCCGCGCAATCGTCAGCAGGCCGTTTCATCCTCGGCCGCCGAGTGCACAACCTATTGCGCAATTGATAGCATGCCGTTCTCCTCTCGGCCGCCGAGTGCGCAATCTACGGCGCAGCTGCTGGAAGGCCGTCTCAGTCTTGGCCGACGAGTGCGCCACTTGATTGTGACGCAAGCCATGTGATTGGCAGGAGGGTCTGCAACAGAGCGCGCAGCCTCAGGCGTGACCAATGGCGCACCCCGCGGGTGGCGCTACCTGCGGCACAGCCAATGGCGCGACAAGTGGATGGCGCAACCCATCTTGAACCTACGGACGGCGTAACCCATGTCGCAACCAACGGATGGCGCAACCCATGGCGCCACGTTTGCACCCATTGATCGCACAACCCGTGGCGCGATGCATGCCGCCACCCATCGATCGAGTAAAGCGGAGCACCGCGTGACCCATGGCGCTATCCGTGGATGGCCCTCCCCGTGGACCGCGCATCGGATGGCGCGCCACATGGGCGGCACACGCCTCCGGCAGCTTCCGCGGGGCTGCGCCCGACGTGTGCTCGCCGTCTGGGCCGGTGGCGGAGCCTCGGGCGGCGGGCCGGGGCGCGAGTGGCGAGCCCCTGGGCCGGAAGGCGGCCTCCGCAGCCAGAGAAATACGAAAAGTTGCCGTCGCCTTGCTTGTGTTGGGGTGGCGGCGCGGGACCTATCCTCCTTGAGATCCTGGCGCGCCGTTCGTCGCGGGCGATGTGGCATGTTTTCTGGGCCCCGGGACCTGCACGGCTCGGTGCGGCTCGAAAAGACGACAGGGCGAGGAGCTCCAGGGTCTTGGTGGAGCTTGTTCTCGAAAATACGACAGGACGATGAGCTCCAGGGTTTTGGTGCAGCCTGCTTCCTGCAGCGCTGCAAGTTTGTTCGCAGCGTCGGGCATCAGGGCTTCTGTCTGTTTCTGCTCCGCACGTGCGGCTACAGGGAGGCGAGGGCGACGACGGTCCTGCGGCACGGTCGCCCGATTTGGACAGCTGTGTGGCATCTGCGCCGTCTGTCTCTCAGCCCCCCCCCCCTCCCCCCTTCTCCGAAGCAGCGCCGCTGCAGAGAAACAAAATCTGGGCGGCGCAGGGCAGCGGGGTCGACGGCTCGGACCGCGGGAGGCATGCGCGCAGGCGCCCTCTCCTCCATGCGGGTGTGCCACGCTGGCGGCCCCGCGTGGGTTGTCGCGCAGGGTCGCGGTGCCATCGTGCGCAAGACCCCCTACCACACACCTTGCCGGCTCGCGTTCATGGGCAACCGGAAAGAAAGAAAGAAAGAAAAAAAAAAAAAAAATCGTGCGCAAGACCCCCTCTTCTCGTCGCTCCCGTTGGGGGCCCGCCAATAGGAGGTCAGGCACCTGGCCTTGGCCTGTCGCACTGCGGGCTCCAGCCCGCCAGGCTCCGTCGCGACGCGCGAACCGCTCCCCAGTTCCAAAGCGTGGACGCCCCGAGCCTCTCCCGGCCTCCCGCCCCGCGATGCGGAGCGCCACGCCGCAGTGGAGACCCATGCCAAGAAGCACCCTGCTCGCCTCCAGGGTGCTCTTGGGTTTCGATGGTTTCGCTACTGAGAGCGCGATGTTTCCGCACCGAAGATCCATGGGCGTCCTGTGGCCTCAGGGTTGGGCTTCTTGTGGAAGGTTTCTTGTGGACTGGCCTCCACTGCACGGTGGAGTTTCTGATCGCATGTGCCTGTCGTATCCACTTGCAAGGCACACCGTGTCGCCGAGGCCGCCGCCGCGACGCGCTAGGCAAGAAGGTCCTCGCCCAGACATGCGAGACCTTGACGTTTTCAATACGGGGTCCCTGGAAGTCCTCCTCCTCCTCCTCCTTCGCCCTCCTCCTCCTCCTCCTCCTCCTCCCTCAGGGCCGGCTGTTCGTCCCGAGTATTTTTCGACAGTCTCAGGGCCTGGTGGGAGCCCCCAGAGGCTGACAATTGTAAACAAAAACGCCTGCTGCGATTAAGCTCAATCACGACGCCAGCCCCTATCTCGCAGTGCCCAGCCCCTGCGATGTGACCCAGCAGAAGCTGTGACTGGAAATGTCTTTCGAGTTGTGGCCGAAGGCACGGTGTGACCAAACCTTGTGACTGGAGTTGGGACTCGCATTGGCTTCGGCCCAAAGTTTTGTTGTCAGCCTCGGGCACGTCCAGAACAAAGCGGGGCCGCCTTTGGTCGCACTCGGCACGAGCTTCTGGCACCGCTTCGGCCCCGCCTCACCCCAGGGACAGAGACGAGGCTTGTCGCGCCGGCGGCGCGCCCGGGGAGACCCGAGCGTTCCCTCTTTCTTCGTCTGGTCGGCCACCTTTGGTGGGCGAGGGCTTCTGAGAACCCCCGCCGCCTCCTGATAAGGCCTACCACCTCTCACTTTCCCCCCTTGGGCTCGCCCCCGTGGAGACGAGGCTTCGTGACCGGTCCCCGAGAGGGGGTCCGGACCCCGCAGGTTGCAACACCACGAGACATCACGACTGGAGTCCTACACCAAATCCTCCTGCGCCATTTTTCGAACCCGATCGAGCTGTGATAGCCCCGGGGCCCGAAACCGAGGGAAAACGCCCGCTGCTAAAGGATGGCAACGCGCAGATCTCAGGGTAGAGACGAGGCTTCGTGTCCTTCGCCCGACTCTGGAGGAGCCCACGCCCCCGCGGCTTCCCAGACACGCCTTGATTTGTTGTCGGTACGGGGTCCCCGGAAGCCCAGAACCTTTCCCTGGGGCCGGCTTTTCGTCCCAGCCCCTGGGAGGCCGAAAACGGCCAAACAATTCCCGCTCACAGTACTGTACGACGCGAGCCTGTCTCGGTGTCGCCCCAACACACTCATGCTATGCGTGCGTCGCCCCCCCCCCCCCCCCCTCCCAAAGGGGCGACGCGCACGCCGAGGAATCTTATGAAATGTGCTGTGTGGCGGGCGCTCTCCGGCCGCACCGCCTGGGAGACACGTGTTCACGAGGCCCCAGGGGCAACCAACTTGGGGGAGGCGGGTTCCTTGCATGGCAAGTGACGTGCGCGGATGGGGGGGGGGGGCAACTGGCCCCCGACGTCATGTTTTTTTCATGACGCCGACCCCCAGAAGCGTCGACTCGTTCCCCGGGGCCGGCTTGTCCTCCTAAGTCGTTTCCTGACGGCCCCGAGGTCCATATAAGGGCCTCCAGAGGTGAAAAGTATAACGACAACCCCCCGTCGTGATTTTTTCAGGGCTCGCGGGGGTCTGGGGAGGGGGACGCTGACCTTCCAGGAGGGTTAAAAATTATCCCGGCAAAGCAACCTAACAGCGATGTGTAGAAGCATATATTGAAGCATTCCCCTTAAGATTCAGATGAGAATCCAGTTGTAGAGTTCTGCTGTTCTCGCAGTCGCAGTCGCATTCGCGATGACAGTCGCAGTGGCAGCGGCAGTCGCAGTCACAGCATCAGCCTGCCTCAGTATCAGCCTGCCTCAGCCTCAGCCTCAGCCTGCCTCAGCCTCAGCCTCAGCCTGCTTCAGCCTCAGCCTCAGTCTGCCTTCAGCCTCAGCCTCTGTGCCTCAGCCTGCCTCAGCCTCAGCCTGCCTCAGTATCAGCCTGCTGCAGCCTCAGCCTCAGCCTGCCTCAGCCTCAGCCTCAGCCTGCTTCAGCCTCAGCCTCAGCCTGCCTTCAGCCTCGGCCTCAGCCTCAGCCTGCCTCAGCCTCAGCCTGCATCAGCCTCAGCCTCAGCCTCACCCTGCCTCAGCATCAGCCTGCCTCAGCGTCTGCCTCAGCCTGCCTCAGCCTCAGCCTCAGCCTCAGCCTCAGCCTGCTTCAGCCTCAGCCTCAGTCTGCCTTCAGCCTCGGCCTCAGCCTCAGCCTGCCTCAGCCTCAGCCTGCATCAGCCTCAGCCTCAGCCTCAGCCTCAGCATCAGCCTGCCTCAGCCTCAGCCTCAGCCTGCCTCAGCCTCAGCCTCAGCCTCAGCCTCAGCCTCAGCCTGCCTCAGCCTCAGCCTGCCTCAGCCTCAGCCTCAGCCTGCCTCAGCATCAGCCTGCCTCAGCTCAGCCTCAGCCTGCCTCAGCCTCAGCCTGCCTTCAGCCTCAGCCTCAGTCTGCCTTCAGCCTCAGCCTCTGTGCCTCAGCCTGCCTCAGCATCAGCCTGCATCCGCCTCAGCCTCAGCCTCAGCCTCAGCCTGCCTCAGCATCAGCCTGCCTCAGCGTCTGCCTCAGCCTGCCTCAGCCTCAGTCTGCCTTCAGCCTCAGCCTCAGCCTCAGCCTGCCTCAGCATCAGCCTGCCTCAGCCTCAGCCTCAGCCTCAGCCTGCCTCAGCCTCAGCCTGCCTCAGCGTCTGCCTCAGCCTGCCTTCAGCCTCGGCCTCAGCATCAGCCTGCCTCAGCCTCATCAGCCTCAGCCTGCCTGCCTCAGCCTCAGCATCAGCATCACCATTCTCAGCCTCTGCATCAGCATCAAAATGTGGCCCGGGAATGGAGTTCTGGGAACTCGAAGAGCACGAAGTGGCCTACAGTTGGCTCCGGGCATTCAAAATGTGGCCCGGGAATGGAGTTCTGGGCACTCGAAGAGCACGAAGTGGCCTACAGTTGGCTCCGGGCATTCAAAATGTGGCCCGGGAATGGAGTTCTGGGCACTCGAAGAGCACGAAGTGGCCTACAGTTGGCTCCGGGCATTCAAAATGTGGCCCGGGAATGGAGTTCTGGGAACTCGAAGAGCACGAAGTGGCCTACAGTTGGCTCCGGGCATTCAAAATGTGGCCCGGGAATGGAGTTCTGGGAAGTCGAAGAGCACGAAGTGGCCTACAGTTGGCTCCGGGCATTCAGAATGTGGCCCGGGAATGGAGTTCTGGGAGGTCGAAGAGCACGAAGTGTGTGACTGTTGGCTTAAAACGACTTCTGCGGCACCCTGTCCGGCACCCGCCCAGACCCCCCCTGTGGAGTCATCTGCTGCTTTCTTTTGACACCACTAGAAACCTATCAGAACAAGCTGTTAGGTAAATAGCACCAGGACGTCGACGTCCTAATTCCTGGCGAGGTTTGAGGCAGTCCAGATAGATCTATAGTTCTGGAGTGCTATTTTTCAGCGCTCTGGAAGGTAAGGGGAGGGGGGGGGGGAGCCCAACGTGAGGTTGGCGCGTGCGCGCGGAGCACTTGTCTTCGCGACCTCCGCCCGGCCCTCGAGGAGCCCACGCCCCCCCGGACGTCGCCCGGCCGCCACGCCGCGCCGGCCGCGCCGAGCCTGGCGCGCCCCGGCCCCGGGCGAGGCGGCGCGGGGGGTCGGTGCTCTCGGGGGCGGCCCACCCTGACCTTCCAGGATGGCTAAAAGATAGCACCAGTACGTCGGCGTCCTGGTTCCTGTCGAGGCTTGAGGCAGTCCAGGTAGATCTATAGGTCTGGAGTGCTATTTTCTAGCGCTCTGGAAGGTCAGGGCAGGGGGGGGGGATGAGGAGGGGGGGCTGGCTATCCTGGCCAGGGCCATGAAATCTCCTCAGACTGCATGGCGCCTCTTCTTCTTCTTCTTATTATTATTTTTCTTCTTCTTCTTCTTCTCTCAGTTCGTCCAGAGGGCCCCCCCCCAGGCCGCGCACATGCCGCCGGCCACGATTTGCGCCCCGCCCCCTTAAGGACGCCCCCTTCTTGGCCGACTCCCATGGTGGGCTCCGAGCAGATGTTGGGGGCGTTCGAAGCCCAGGTGTGCTCGCGTCCTGGAGAGATCAGGGCGGGAGGGGTTCGGTCGTCTCCAGGCTCTGAGGGGCCCTCGCTGTAGGCCCCCGGGGTTGTCAAAAAACGGCTCCTCGGGATGACAAACCAGCCCCGGGGAGGGGGTAGGACTCTACGGGGATGGGACATCATGGCCGGGGCCATGTTCTCTTTCCAGATTTCATGGCCCCTGCTCTTCTATCAGTGCGTCCCCTGGCTCACCCAAAGTTTGCGCACATGCCTCGGGCCATGAGTTGTGCCGCCCCCTCATGAACGCTCCTGATTCTTGGCCTCCCAGATGGGGTCCGAGCAGAAGGGGTCGGAGGATCGCGATGCGGCTCGATGTGTAGTCCGGTTTTATGCACGTCGACGGCGCCGATGCATCGCGGATCGTCCAAGATCATCGGCGCTGCGGTGCGATCCTCCGACCCCACTTGCTCGAGCCCCATTGGGGGGAGGGGCCTCCAACATCGGAGTCGGCTGGGGGTCTGCGGTGCCCCAGCACCTGGCCCCGGCCAGCAGAACAGGGGGGGAAGGAGCTCGGGAGCCTTGAGACGGGGGTCAATGCAAACGGGGGTCAGCCAGAGCGCCCGATCCTGCAGGATCCTGCAGGGCCAGGGTCGCACTGACCCGGATGTGGGTGCAGGATCCTGCAGGATCTTGCATGATCCTTCGCGTTGACCCGGGTTTGGGTGCAGGATCCTGCAGGATCTTGCAGGATGCTGCAAGGCCTGACTGACCCGGGTCAGGATTGACCCTGGTCAGCAGGTCCCCGAGGAGCTACATGGTTGGACCTCCCGGGGGCTCGTCGTCGCCACGGCCGGATGCGGCTCCGAAAACATGGTGCGTTTGAGCCCAGGGATCCACAGGCCGACTTTGAGCGGATCTGGCTGCATCCCCTCCTCTATACCAGATGTTATCGGCTCCCCTCGCGCCGGGAAGGATTGCGACATTCGATGTGTCGCTATTTTTGGCTCTGGGCCGTAAAAGACGATTCGGGATGAAAAAAGTGTCCCCTGGAAGGGTCCAGACCTCTGAGAGTCCACGTTACGAGGAAATCATGACGTCGGGGGTCTGGGTCAGGGGCCCCGGGGCCTTCAGGGAAACGTCCGGTCAGAGGAGGCCTTCGTTGAAAAACAACAGAGACCATGCTTTCGTAGCCCCGCGCGGATTTCTTGGATCGGCGCTGGACGACCTGGCGGCGCCTCTGGCGTCGCCCCTGGCTGGCTCCGCGCGCCAGGAGGAGGGGTCAAGACTTTGAGGACCTCGTCGTGTGAATACGTCGGATCTCTGGGTCGGGGGCCGCCAGGTGCCCGATAGGACGCCTTCGGGGCGTCGTCGGAAGCCTTCGGGGGTTGTCGGGGGTCTTCGGAGGGCGGGCGTCAGCTCATCAGCTTGACCAGATGATCCCGGGCTCCAGACCCACGGCCGCCCCCCCCCCCCCCCCCCCAGATGGGATGGGTCTCAGGGTTCCTCGGGCCCCCCCCCTTGCCCAGATGGGATGGAGAGGAACGACGACGACGACGAAGACGGCGACGAAGAAGACACCGTCCGCTCTGGCTCCCTGAAGCACCGCAATACCACGCCACACCCAGAGGGAGGCGACGACAGGGAAGACACCGTCGACGACGATGTTGCTTCTCCTCCTACCTCCGTCCCCCTCATCCCTCCCTCCTCGTTCCTTGGCCCGTTCTTCCCTAGCTTGCTCCCTTCTCTCACTTCCTCTTTTCCTCCTCCTCCTCCTCCTCTTTTCCTCCTCCTCCTCCTCCACCTCCTCCTCCTCCTTGATGGGAGGGGAGTGCCAGACCCCATACCCACCACCGCACGCCCACAGCGGAAGACCCCACCACGCCACGGCGACAGGGGGGTGGGGCCACCGCGCGGAGGGGGGCGGGGCCCGATGGCAGCAGCAGGAGGGCGGGTGGGGCGGGGGGGCCCGGACCCTGGATCGTGTATACACCTTAGGCGATGCTCAAGAAAACCCAAGTTTTCGGCCAGAGTCTCGATTATTCTGAACGTTTCAATGTGAACCTTGAGATTTTGATAGAAATGTTGGGTTTTTGTTCAAGTTCTGAGACTATGAATTTCTTAACCCATGATTTCTTAAGCATTTCGCGGGGTGTACGCCCTTCTGACCTCGCAGGTGGGGCGTCTACAGTGATCCCGGGCCCAGGACGGGCCCAGGCAGGGTCGGTGAGGTGGACGAGCTGACGTCCCCCGAACACCCCTGCGCCAATCGGGCCGCCATGACCCTCCTCTTTGGAGGGGGTGGAGGTGGAGGAGGGTGCCGCATGGGGGGGAGGGCTGCATTCTCCGATGCACCAATGCCTGCATCTACGAGCATACGGCGAGGAGGTGGAGGAGGAGGAGGAGGAGGAGGAGGAGGAGGAAGAGGACGACGACAAAGACGACGAGCATGACGGCGACGACAACAGCGAGCTCCCGTTGCTCATGCCCAGACTTGTACCCGCAACCGCTCCTTGGAAGCAGAGCCCATGGCTGGGCCCTTTGGGGTGCGGGCGGCCGCCGATGCCTCCTCCTCGGGCTGGGAGAGTTGGGTGAGGAAGAGGAGTGTGCGCGGGTGTCCAGAGACAACGCAAAGACCCCACATAGGATGTGTGGAATGAACTATGTAATTTGTCGCAGGTCCGCGTAGATTTCGTAAGTCGGAGCTGGACCTTTCTCACACCTCGTCCCGAACTCGCCGTGGGCGGCGCTGGAGACGTCGTCAAGGGGTGTGGGAAGGGATGCTGCTCAGCCAGGGTAGCTTCTGAGGGAGGCGGATGGTGGACTGCGGAGAAGGTTTGGTGGATTGCGGGGGCCGTGACCTGGAGGAGGACAGGAGACGTGGTTTGGGTGTTCGGCCGCTGTGCTGCTCTCCGGAACGAGGCGGAACGAGGCGGAGAGGTTGCTGTGTTGTGCTAGTGACTCGGACCTCTGGCGCACTTGGTTTTGCAACCCGTGGGCTCTGGACCTTTTTTTACTTACACCTTAGGCGATGCTTAAGAAAACTTAAGTTTTCGGCCAGAGTCTCGATTATTCTTAACGTTTCAATCTACATCCTAAGTTTGTAATAGAAATGTTGGGTTTATATTCAAGATCTGAGACTATGAATTTCTTAACCCATGATTTCTTAAGCATTTCGCGGGGTGTATGCCTGATCAAGACAAGTGCAGGGGCATCAACTGTTACAGTTCCGCGCGGCCTTCTCGGGTCGCCGCTGGGCCCCGCCTGTGGGCGCGTTCGACGCCGCCTCTTGGCTCGCGGGGCGCGCCAGGGGAGAGCGATCCAGCGCCGACCCGAGGCATCCGCGCGCACCCCCGATTTTTTTGTTTGTGCATGCTGTATGCCACTTGTTGTTCCTCCAGCTTCCAAGCGCCCGCCCTCCATTTTTCACATCGTCTTCGGATGCCCCCCGCGGGCCCAAAAGCAGCCCACGGATGCCGGAACAGCCGAAGGCTGATACGACCCCTGCCCTGCCAAGTCGATTGGCGAATTGCCTCTTTGGGGGGTTATCGAGTGGCCCTTGGGCCCTTTGAAGCCCTCTGAGGCCCTCTTGGAGCCGTCTTGGGCCATCTTGGAAGCTCCGACCGCTCGCAGAACCCCCCGTCCAGGTCCACTGGAGGGAGTAGGGGGAGGGGTCAAGACACCCTCCAGATAGCAAGCCGTCTAGCTCACTCCCGCCCGCCCTCCCAACACATAAGTAACACCCGAGCCTCAGCATATTCGGCGGTCGTCTTTGGATGGACAGCTACTGGGAACCACAGCCGAGCCCATGTGTTCGATGCTGGGGCGAGGTGCGCCACGCGTGCCAGGCGCGCCACGCGCGCCAGGCACTCCTGGGGCCCGAGCGTGCCAGGCACGCCTGGTGCGCCAGATGCGCCACGTGCCTCCGCGTACGCCAGGTGTGCCGAATACTCCAGCCGCGCCAGGTGCGCCACGTTCGGGGCACGTGCAGAGTGTGTCAGGTGCGCATGCGCACGTGACAACACGCACCGGGAAACATGTCGGCCCCCACCATCCCTGTCGAAAACTAATCCACAGCATTGCGTCTGGTGGGCCTGCGCACAGCAGGCTATACGCCACCACCCCCGCCGTGCCTAATAAGAACCACTTGACCATGATCGTGGGGTGGCCGCGCATGATCCAGATTTAGCCGAGAGGTGTACTTTATGTGGTGTTTTGTCAGGGATGGTATCCCTGCGCGCAGCAGGCGATATGCTGACACCCCCGCCGTCCCTGGTAACAAAAACAATACGAAGTGCTCATGGACATCACGAACATGACTCCAGACTTTGTCAAGTGTATTGTGTATTGTTGTTTGACAGGGGTGGTGGGGGGGGGGGCGTCGGGTTGGTTGCGCATGCTCCGAATTTGGAGGCAGAGAGCGTTTTGCATTGTTTTTTGAGAGGGATGGTGGGGAGGTGTGAGCATGGTTCCTGGCTGGCTGCCGGTCGCCTGGAGGAGGGGGAGTACATTTATGGGGAACAGTGTTCAGCCCCTCCCCGAAGGGGAAGAAGGGGGCTGGAAGAGGAAGCGCCCTATAGACCACCTACGCCCAGAGGGCCGGTGGGATCGCCCTTTTGTTGGGGGTATTCTCGCGAGGGCGTCGCTGCCGCAGCTCTTCCGGGCCTGCGCCCGCTGGGTCTGGCCCTGCTTCGCTTTCACGGCAGGGGGCCGTGCCCACCCCTGGCGCAGAGAACCCCCCCCGCGACTGCAATGCCAGTGGAGATATCCGACGATCCGATTGTTCCAATGCTCGAGCAGGAGATCGACTACAGATCGACGCACCCCAAAACTGATTGTCTCGTCGAACCCGCGACAAGCATGCAGAATGCGCGTAGATCTGCGCGCTTTCTGCTGATCTGTGGTACAGTCACGAAGGCAAACCCAAACATTGGCAGGGCTCGAGCTAAACGGTGTTTTCGCAATTTCGTGGCCCGTTCTCGTTTTGATTTCGTTTTTTTAGCAAATGTGGAACGAAGGCAGAACTAGGGATGACGAAAACAAAACGAAAACGGAAAACATTGTTTAACTCGAGCCCTGAACACTGGGCACATCAGCTACACAGTCGATGCCCCTGCTCGAGCCATCCGACGACCTGCTCCGTCCAGTGCGCGGCTCCAGTGGTTCCCACCCCCCCTTCCCTGGTGCCGGCTACCCGTCCTGGAACAGATCTTCGGATGGCCCCGGGGCCCAGGAGGAGGAGGAGGAGGAGGAGGAGGAGGAGGAGGAGAAGGAGGAGGAGGAGGAGGAGGATGACGAAGAGAAGGAGGAGGAGGAGGAGGAGGAGAAGGAGGAGGAGGAGGAGGACGAAGAGGAGGAGGAGGAGGAGGAGGAGGAGGCGCCCGGGAGGCCCAGTTCGACGAACGGCGCTCGGGGGAACAGAAGCACCGCCGGGGATGTCGGCAGAGGCTCCTCGGGAGGGCGTCTTCTGGCCAGAGTGCCCGGGCAGCGATGCACTGCATGAGGTGTGTGCAGCGTGTTTGTTGGCTCGGGCCGCGCCTCCCAAGGGGGGAGCGCACAGTCTTAGGTTACGGCGGCGAGCGACCGTGGGAAGCGAGAGAGAGAGAGAGGGGGAGAGAGGAGTCCTTCTCGAGAGGCGGCGGGGCTTCTCAGAAGCCCCCTGGCCTGCTCAGAAGTGTCGTGTGCCTCTGCAGGACGGCCTGGCAACTGCTCAGGGGGCCGGAGGACTTCCGGGCCTTCTGAGAAGCCCCGCCCCCCCTCCTTGCCCCCCTGGACTGGCCGCCGAAGCACAGCGGAGGCCCATGCCAAGAAGCACCCTGCTTGCCTCCAGGGTGCCCTGGGTTTCGAGGGCTTTGCCACGGCGAGCGCGACGCTGCCACGCCAAGAGCCACTGGACGTCCTGGGGTCTCGGGGGTGAGCTTCTTGTGGAAGGTCTCTTGTGGTCGAGCCTCTACTGCATGCCCTCCTGCGTCCCTCGGGAGACGAAAAACACAGACACAATTCATCGCCGATTCCCGGGAGGGTAACGGTATGGGAAGCTGTGGACGCTGGAGGGGAAGACGAACACCCAGGAAACATGTTAGACCATGTGGGTAAGCCTGGGATCTGTGTGTATCCACCTGTGTGCCCCAGGGCCCCCTTTGAGCCTCGCGAGGGCCCCCCCTCGGGGATGGAGGAGCCGCTCCGGGAGAGGCATGCGGGCAGGGCCGGGGGGGGGGGGCGCCCGCCAGGCTACGCCCCGCTGCCCGGCGGGCCTCGGGCGCCCACGCGGCCGAGGCCGCCGAAGAGGGTCACGTTCGCGTAGGTGGAGGAGCCCCGCTTCTCCTCCTCCTCCTCCTCCTCCTCCTCCTCCTCGTGCTCCTCCTCCTCCTCCTCCTCCTCCTCCTCCTCCTCCTCCTCGTGCTCCTCCTCCTCCTCCTCCTCCTCCTCCTCCTCTTCCTCCTCCTCCTCCTCCTCCTCCTCCTCCTGATCTCGGCGGCGAGCCTGAGGGGGAAGTTAGAAGGGGCGGGCCTTCTCAGAAGGCTCCCGGCCTTGCGAGAAGCTTTATAAGCCTTTCCCGGAGACGCAGAACACACTTCTCGGAAGGCGCGAGGGCTTCTGAGAAGTCCCGCCGCCTTCTGAGAAGGAATTCTCCTTCTCATTCCCCCCCGCGCTCGCCGCCGACTCCGCCGACTGACCGCATGCCCCTGCCCCCATGACTGGCATCGCCTTGTCTCGACGCCGGTCTTAGGCTTCCCTGAGCTTCTGAGGGAGCATCCTTAAGATTGTCACCGCCTTTGGGCTCAGCCAGTGAGCCTTGGAATATATGGATCAAACGACCCACCCGAGAAGCAGAACGTGTTCTTGACAAAATAGGTTACCATACAACGACGAAGGAAATGGCGATGGGCTGCCAAAGTTGCCGGGGAACCGTGGAAATGGGGATACAAAGCGCTCATCTGGGACCCGTCGCTATCTTTGGATGCTTCCTTCCATCGCCGACAGGCCCGGCCAAAATCTCTGTGGGCGGACGACATCGTGAAGTACGAGAACAATCCGGAATGGTTCAGTATCGCTCCAACTGCTGAGTGGGAGCGCCTTGAGGCTGGATTCCTGTCTTTTGCCAGGCCTTGAACTTTTTACAGCTTTTCACGGCAATGCATCTGTAATGCTTCCTGGGGCGCTCGGGCCCCCACCCCGCCTAGTCCCCTCGCGTGGATTCTTGTACGCGCGCATCGCTTCGCTTAAGGATAAGCTCGAGGCTGGTTAGCAGTGTTTGACACCAGATTCCTCTCGCTTCGCGGGGTGCACGTCCGGAGCACGCACAGTCCAGTCGTTGCGGGGCCTCTTGGGAGATTCTTTGTGGCTGTGACCTCTTGGAGGTGTCTTGGAGGCTTCTTGGGGCCTCTTCTGCACTGGGCTTCTTTGGTCCTCTTGGGGCCTCTTGGGGGCGTCTTGGGCCGTCTTGGGGCGCTCTTGCGGCGTGTGGCCCATTCGGAGGCCGGCCTGGGAGCCTCTCGAGGCCGGTCTGGGGCCTCTCGCGGCCGCAATCGCCGCTGTGGAAAAGTGTTCAAATGGGGAAGGTGTCAGCGTTGGTTGGCGTGACCTGCTCGGCTGCCGCGCGTGCGCGCCGCTCCGTCCTGCAATCCCCAGGGCTTCTGGGCGGCCTCATGGGGGGCTCTTGGGAGCCTCTTGAAAGCCTCGTGGGGGCTTATTGGAGAGCCTTTGGGGCCGCTTTGGGGCCGCTTGGGGCTTCTTGTTTACGTCTTGCGCCGGCTTGGGGCGCTCTTGCGCCGTCTGGCCCCTTCGGAGGCCATCTTGGAGGCCTCTCGCGGCCGCCTTAGGGCTCTCTTGGAGTCCTCTTGGGCCGTCTTGGGGGCCCCTTGGACCGTCTTGGGGGCCTCTTTGGGCCATCTCGGGGCCCTCTTGAGCAATCCTGGGGCCCCTTCGGGGGCCTCGTTGGCCGTCTTGAGGTCTTCTTGGAGGCTGCTTGGGCCGTCATGGTCCTCTGAGAGCCGACAAAGGCGAGAACGCTAACATCATTCAAAAACCAACGGAACATCAATGATTTTGGTTCCTGGAAGTGCTCTTTCGAGTCCTCTTAGGGCCCCCTTGAGCCATCTTGGGGGCCTCGCGTGCCCTCTTGGGGCCATCCAGGGCCGTCTTGGGGCCGTCTTGGGCCGTCTTGGGGCCATCTTGGGGCCATCTTGAGGCCTTCTTGGAGTCCCAAGAGGCCCCAGAGGCCGAAGTTGTTGATTTTGGTCAACGGTTTTTGTAGGTTTGGAGCCCCAGAATGAGGGCCTCCAGATTTGGTACGGCGCTGTGGCGCGGCTCCAGAGGGGGGAGGTGTAGGCGGGGATGCGTGATAATTTGATACAATACCATGGATAGCTATTATGCAATCGTTGGAATCACTGGATACGCTGCATTACAGCATCCGCGGAAAACGCTGTCGCTCAGCACGTCACCTCCGGACGTGGATTCATTGGCTGACGCCGCACCGCCGACCCCTTGGGGCGGCAGTGAGAGTGGAAAACGGAGTTTGCGGAACGCGCGCGCGATTTCTTGGGAATCTTAGGGTTTCAGCTTCTTGGGATTTCGTCGGGGGCGGTTGGCGGATCGCGCTCTGCTCTTGGGCTTCTCTGGATTCTCCTGGCAGCACTTTCGCGGCCTCTTGGGGGCCGTGTTGAGGTCTCTAGGGGCCTCTTTTGGGCCTCTCGGGGGCCTCGTGGGAGCCTCTTGGGGGCTGCTTGGTGCTTCCTCAGATTTTTTCGGGGCCGAGGGCTCGAAATGTTCATTTTGGTTCCCCCTCTGGACCTCCTCTTGGGGCCGTCCTGGGGCCCTCCCCGGGTCGTTTTGGAGGCTTCTGCGGCCGTCTTGGGGCCCTCTTGGGCAGTCTTGGAGCCCTCTTGGGGGCCTATTGGGCTATCTTGAATCGATCTTCAAGGCTTCTTGGGCCGTTGTGGGCTTCCTGAAAGCCCAAGAAGCGAATGTGCTAAACATTTTCGTTTTCCATGCGGAATTGGATGATGTTTTGCTTCTGGAGAGCCTCTTGGGACGCCTCTTGGTGGCTTCTTGGGGCGTCTTGGGGGCCTCTGGGACTGTCTGGAGGCAATCTTAAGCGTCTTGGGGCGATCTTTCGGCGATTCGTAGCCCTCTTGGACCGTCCGGGGGGCCTTCTGAGGCTCTCTTGGCCCGTTTTGGGGCACCGTGAGGCTCCAAGGGTGCTGCCTGCACCTTTGCCCCCCCCCCCCCCCCCCCAAAACCGGCCAGACCGGGCTCTGGGGCGAGGGGTTTGGGGAGGGGGAAGCATCTCACACGCCGTGACCCCATGTTTGAAACCAGATTTCCGAGGGTAGGATTGAGGCAGTTTTTGTTCATTCAGATCCATGCAAATTTGCATGGGGGGGAGGGTGGGGGTGGGGAGAGGCCCGAAAGGAAATCTCGACCTCACGCAAGTTGGGGCCCACTTGCACGCGCCTTTTCGGCCCAGCGCTGTATGAACTGACAGGAGGGGGGTGCCATGCAAGTGAACTTGCCTGATCCTAGAAAGTAAGACGCTCTCATTTGTTCGATCCCTGCGCTTTCCCTTGACTTTGGCCTCCGGGACCGTTCATCGGGCGCTGGGACCAGCAGAAACGGGCCCGCAGGACGCAAGACAGCCTCAGGGAGCGGGGCCAGGAATGCAGCGGCCGCGGATGGACCAAAATCAGGTCGGAGGGCGCCCCTCACTCCGATGTGCACTACGCTTCGGGCGAAGGCCCGCATACCCTAGTGTATAGCTGCGCGGCTCCCAGTTCTGGCTGGCGCCCGCCCGAAGAGAGGCCCGGCGCGCCCTCTGCGCGGAAGCCCGGGAGCCGCGGCGCCCGGGATGCAGGTCCTGGTAGGCCGCGCGCAGCAGCAGACCAACCTCGTGCCGCGCGCCCGGGGCGGCGCCGACGGGTGGGCTCCCGAGCGAGGCCGCGCCACGAGAAAGAGCATCGCCGTGCATGCCCATCGAAGAACCAACAACTGCATGAGCATAACCTCTTGGAGCTCCGCGCGGAGGTTCTCGTATCGGTCCCCGGTGCCTCCGGCGCCGCCCCTGGCGCGTTCCGCGAGCCAGGGAGGAGTGTCTGGCGCGGATCCAAGAAGCAAGTGCGCGCGGACCTCCAAACATGTATGTGTATGTGCTTATGTTGCTGTTATGCCGTTGCTTGGTCTTCTATGCCATCCCCGTGTGCTGCGTCATGGTCCGACCCGGCCCGAGGGGCACGCGGCCAGTGAGAGGGGGTGTGGAGTGGGGAAAGGAAGTATGTGTTATAGGTGAGGAAGCTATTGGGGCTTGGGGGGGGGGCCGAAAGCAGGGGGTCCGGGTGATGGAGACAAGGGAGAGGGGAGAGGAAAAAAGGGGTGGGGGCCAGAAATGCAGGGTAATACAGGGTAATTTGGGGAGGGAAATGCAGGGTAATTTGGGGATGGGGCACTTGAGTGGTGGGGGGCCGGGAACAAGGGGCGGGGTGTATGGAAATAGAGGGGTGAAGGAAATGAGCGGTGGGGCCCGGACATAGAAGGTCAGACATCTATCTTGCATGTCAACAGAATGCCTTGCGTGGAGGAGTTCGGTGTTCCGACAGGTCCAGGCCCCGCATATGGGGCAAGAGTAGTGGATGGGATCCGAGGCCGATGCCCCGCCAATGCAGTGCGATCCTCCGACCTCCTGCTCCAGTCCCAGTTTTGAGGCCTCCAGTAGCTCGGTGCTTGAGTCTCGTATACAGTGAAGACGCTGCGAAGAGGACTACGTTGGGTTTGGGAGGGCCTGGTTTTCGGGCCTATCCTTTGATCTAGGTCGGGAAACCTATTCGTGGGCGAGGCTAGCCGTGGCCAGAAAAGCCCTTCTGTTTGTTTTTTTTTGTGCGCGTTCCTTAATTATGAGAGCTTGTATGCTGCAGGCGAGGTTGTTCCTATAAGCATCTTATCGTGCAAGGTCACCGTAGATGTGTCTGCACATGCGGCTGGCTTCCGAGCTCGAGCGACGGCCTCACAGGGAAGCCAGATGCACCTGAAAAGGGGCTCTCTGCGACGCGCAGTAAGGTATCGCAAGGAGGGCCCAGAGGAGAGATTTTTTAATTTCGCCCGGAAGCGGGTCCTCAGGGAAACTGGTTCTCAGATGTTCGCCGTTTTCGGATTCCTGGGCCCTCCCCAGGATCTTGGACCGCCGGAGTAACGAATCATGATCAAGAGTCGGTATTGGGGGAATGTCCCAGGACCCAGGACCCGTTTCTGCCAGGATTCATCCCCTACATGATACATGAATGCGCTCTACGATTCAAAAGTAGCAGCGCCAGGGACATTGACGAGATACCAACAACGGCCGCGCCAGCTGCTGAATCTAGGGGCCGACGGACCACATGCCACGGTGCCTCGCTCGTAGTATCCAAGGCGACTCACCTCAGAGCCGCGCAGAAGTTTATTTGCCGACGGTAGATGGAAAGAAGTTGTGCCTGTTCTGTACAACCGCCGCTCTATGTTTTGCCGTCGCTTCGTCCGTCGCTGCTGCGCGTGTTGTTTGTTCGGTCGTTGTTCGTGGCGTATCCAGTCTAACCCGCTTCGTGGCATGGAGACGGGCTCAGCGCCAGTGACTGGAGCTGCCAATGCGGCGAACAGGAGGTACCAGCAGGTGTTAGGGGGGGAGAGAGAGAGAGAGAGAGAGAGACAGACAGAAAGAGAGGGAGAGAGAGAGAGGGAGAGAGAGAGAGAGAGGGAGAACCAGGAGAGGGGAGAGAGAGAGAGAGAGAGAGGGAGAGAGAGGGAGAGGGAGAGAAAGAGGGAGAGAGAGAGAGAGAGAGAGACAGACAGGAAAAGAGCACAACATAAAGAAGGAGCGGGTAATTCTCCCACGGGGTCGGGTCTTGCGCGCCGCCGCTGCCACCGCACGAGCGCCGAAGGCCCTCGTGAGAGTTTTCGCTCGCAGCGCCCGCGGGGCACTCCCCGGGCGAGCGACGCCAGAAAGCGGTGCCGTTTGCGCCGACGTTGGCGCGCAGGCTGCCCGCGTGCGGTCGCGCGTGAGCGCCCTCGGCTCCAGTGTGGCGTGCTGCGCTGGCGGCCCGCGTGAGCCACCGCGTGAGGTTGCCGTGCCACCTCGCGCTAAGGCCCCTTTTGCGATCGTCGCTCGGGTGGTCTGGCATCCCCCCTCGAGGAGGGCCACCCGATCAGGCCCAGATGGCCCCCTCATGTGGGTCTGGCGGAGGGCCTCCCTGGCCCTCACCCCAGTCGGGAGCGGCGAACATATCCGTATCCGCGCCTTCGCGGCCTGGAATCCGGGGCGCGATCCCGCGGGCACGCGGTCGCATGGATGCGGATACGTTCCGCGCAGGGCATCCGCGAAACGCACATTCCGTATCTGCGGGGCCGCGGCCCAGGAGCCCGGCCCGCAACGCCGCGGATACGGACATGTTGTTCGCCATTTCGTCCTTGCAAGAGAGTGCGAAGGAGAGGCGGGCTTGACCGCGGTGCCTCGTCCTTCGCACGAGCTGGGGGTTGATGCGACATGTCCGTCTCATGGCTCGGGCGTGTTTCTCGATGACGCTTCGTCTGCACAGGCTTCGGCCCAGCCCGGAGGAAACCATGTTGCTCGCTCACTATCTAGGGCGCGAGGCCGAGGCTGGGCACGCGCGCTGCCTCGCCCCAGGCGGCAGCACCGCCCGCGGCCGCCGCGGACGGCGCCATCCGCAGGCCGCCCCTGCGGGGGAGTGCTGTCGGCTGCGTGGGCGTGTCGTCGGGACGACCGGCGGCGACACCGCCGCCGGCGAGCAACGTGGAATGCCGCCGGCACCCAGAACTGGTCGATGTTCTGCAAAAAAACCCAGGATTGCAAAAAAACCCAGGATTGCAAAAAAACCCAGGATTGCAAAAAAACCCAGGGTTTTTGTTGCAATACTTATCTGAAGAAGTCGATCGTGCAAGAATGAGCGATGCCCGCGGTGTCAGAGGAAACCAACGCCGGGGTCGACACGGCGCGACCCTGCCGCACGGAGAGAGCGCGCAGAAAAAGACCGACAGCATTTCCGAGTCATTTTGGACAGGGCTCGTTGTGGGTGTCGCCGCGGGCTTTCTCTCTCTGAGGCCGAAGGTTGCCTGCCCGGCAGCATTCGCTGTCGGCTCCTGGACATCATTTGACGTTGGGCATCGTAATTACCCATTCTTGTCGTGCCCACTAGTTATGGGTGTGCAGATGTCAGGGGGGAGGGGACAACGCCAGGATGATCGAGGTGTTTGGGCCGCGCCGTCGGATTTCGGCGGTTTTCCAGCCAGGGTGTCTTCCAGCGGCGACGCCTCGCCGAGAGCGTTCCAGCGTCTGCCAGGAGCGTGCCGAGCGGCCGCTGGAGAGCCGAGCTGCGACCCGAGCACCAATGGGGGGCAGCGCTGGGCTCCGGTGGGGGCGCATCGACGCCCCACCGCCCACGGATCGCCGGTGGGGTCACCATCCACCAAACCACCCCAACCCAACCCGAAGGTCTCGACTTGCCCTCCATTTCCAGTGGGGGGGGGGGTCGGGGAACATCGAGGAAACACACACATGGAACCCGTACCCCCCCCCAACCCGAAGACCCGAGGTCTTCGGGTTGGGTTGGGGTGGTCTGGTAGGTTGTCAGATGGGGCCCCGAGAGCCCACCCTCGCTCAGGAGCTTGCGCTCTCACTGTCGTGGGCCCATCGCCGATTTCTGTCGGCGGTGCATCGCCGATTCGGGCCTTGGTGTCTCCGCCCCATGAGCGCGACCTGCCACAGCTTCGCCGGAGTCAGAAGAGGAGGAGGAGGAGGAGGAGGAGGAGGAGGAGGAGGAATAGTGTTTTTGTTTTTGCGGTATGATCGTATCTGGGCCACCAGAGAGCTCCGCAGATCTCCGTGCGGCCTGCCGCCCCCCCTGCGCTTGCCCGCTCGGCTGTGGGGGACAGGACCCTGATGAGGCTGCGGGCGTGCGCCCGCCACTGCTCTCACTGTGTGACACTTTGCCGCGACGCGTGCCCGTGTGCTCGGCATGGTCCGGCAGGGGCGTTGGGCTGGACGGTGCGCACCGTGAGAGCTCGTGTCGCAGTTTGGCCTGCGCCGTGCTCAATGCGTCGCTGAATGATCGGGTTTTTCTTCAAGCGGCGAGGTGACGAAACGCTAAGCTGGGCCACGCTTCGGCGAATTTCCACCCGGCGTAGCAGATGAGTCGGTCGGGTCGTGGCAGTCGCGTGCAGGAGAAGACGCGGAAGGGAACATGCACGTGGAAGATGCCAGCGAGCGGCCATGGAAAGTGCAGGATCAGAGGCCGAGCGCCACCTGGCTGATAGGTGGGCACGGGCCGAAAGAAGGCGGTGTGCGGCGGAAAGAAGTGGCTGTGCGGTGGACACGGGCCCGAAACAAGCGGCGTCGCGGCCCCTGCGGTACGGGAGCTTTCGGACGACACACCTTCCGTAAGCATTGACAGTCGCCCCCTTGCTGCTGGGGTGTTTTAGCCCAGCCTTGTGCGCAGAGTGTCCCGCCAGCGCATCAAGCTGTTGCTCAAACGCAACATTCCTTGTGCTCAATTTGCCAGCTCCCGTCCATCGCACTGGCTGGGTCTTCGGCCAAGGGGAGCAAGCAGACGGATCATTGTCGAGCAAAACGTGTGGCACGTCTGGCATTTGCAGTGGTGGCCAATATACAAGCGCATGATACTCCTTGCCCCATGCTTGACACGCAGATGCGTTAGCAACGCCTGCTTGGTGCCCCACGATGTGCCGCAGCATTGCGGGCACGGGTATGAGCATCCTTCCCCTTCGAAGGAAGTTTGCCTTCTGTCCGCGTGAAGTTGATCACGATCGGGGGCCTTGCGAACACGTCAACAAGAGCACGCTAGGTGGACATTCCGTATCAGACGTCGTGGCACGAGGTGGAGAAGAAGAACACAATGCCGAAACCATTAACAAAAGGCAGCATCAATCGTTTCGTCCTCATCCTCCCTCCTCGTTCCCTCCACCATC